ATGTAGTAACTGAATGGCTCAGAAAAATCCGCCTGTCAAAGTATTCGTTTCCGTTACCTGCTTACATTCTGAAAAGGCGTGCACATCTTCTGCACCTGTGGGGCCTTCCCAGTGCTACCAAAAGGGCCCAGGCATCAATTTCAGTTTCCTCCTGGCCGCAGCGGGGCCAGCTAAAGCATGAACATGCATATCCAACAGAGTGTTGTTAAGAAACGCAGCTGACGAGATTCATACACCTTGTGTGAGCTTCGCCAGGCGGCACATTTGATCGCCCTGACTACTGTAGTGCTTACTGTGTCTCCCGTTGTTGGTGCTGGCAACAACTGGAGAAGTCTAAGTATCCAAGAAGGCAGCGAAATCCAATTTAGAACTGGAAGGGAACTACATCCTACAAGTTTATTTGCTCAACAAGGTTCCTGCCTGTTGCGGCCTCTGGAAAGCGTGTCAGCGACCGCGCAAGCTATATCATCAATACTACTTGAGTGTGGAGTAGGTCTGCGTCAGCAGACGAAGCAATTTAACAGATCTTTCATTATCCGAATATCCAGTAGTCTTCATTAGGGCTAACACGGACAGGGAATGGGCTCTAACAGTCTAGCGTCTGCCATGCAAGTAGTGCCAGACCTTTGCTACCTCGCAGATCTCTTGGAGGTCTTCCGCTAATCGCCAATTGTCTCTCCTTCTGCAGAACAGTTAAGGAGGCGCTTACTTGGTTTTTCCTTCCCGGTTGTATCCGTGGCAAGCGACGGCAACAACGCATCTACTCCGGTAGAAGACATTTTCTTTACTAGTCGCTATCCCGGACATCCGCAAGCTTTTCCCTTGATAACCGATGGAAGTGAATGATACGGCTTGGTGGAAACTGCCGTTGCACAGGCAGGAAGCCTTTGCGAGCTACCTTACTGCTTCCCGTATAACCAGTTCTGCCTTGAAAATGAAGACTAGTTCATATTAATATTGGCTCTATGAACCTAAACCCTAAACCCTAAACCCTAAACCGCTAACTTCAGTGAATAGTTTTTTCAATCTCTAACTAGGCAGAGACTACAAACTGACACGCAGGTAAATCCCGTTGCGTCTCCTACAGGGGTTTCAGCTCGTGGGTGCACTACTTCGTACGTCATGCACTTGCTGGATGGTTATTAAGTTGTCACGGATTGCACCAAACAGATCATGATTAACTTGGTGGAGTTATTTCAGTGTTGATGGTGAAAACAGTCTTGTGCCTGCCGTCGCGAAGGACAAAAATGCGCCGGCGAAGTCAAAGGATGAAAAGATAGCTGAGCGCTGCACACGTCAAGGTAGTTTGTCAATCTGATGAATCCGAAGCTTGTTTTGTTTTGCTTCGGTTTTATCGTAGGGTTCAAGCTGGCTCATATATGCGATCCCCCGCGTATTTTCCTCCTCAGTGCCGAGTTATTTCTAGGCCTAGTAGTTGATGCTTAAACAGTGCTTTTTTCCAGACGTTCGTTCCTTTGCTACAGCACTATTCGGCGTTGTGAAATCGCGTGTACTTCAAAGCGTTTCAGAACGCATGGAGAAGTATGCTCCATCTCATCACTGTCACTTGAGGTATCAAATATGTTACCTCTTCACGGTGTGCGTCAAGTAGTGCTAGCTGCTGCTGGCGGTGAAGACGAAGTAAGATGTGCGTATAATTTACTCGATGCTGAGGTACACTAGAGGCTCTCACGTCGGGCTATATCACTTAGCCGCACGCGGCGTGGGTGCCAGTTCATTTCTCTCACAATTTTGTGGGTGCCTCGTGTGGTGCTCGAATTATTGCTTGCAGTGCTTCTCCCCGTGCTTCCACCTTTGTATCCGCCAGCGTCATAGAGTGCACGGGAATAAAGGATTATTCATATGCTTTCGGCGAGCTCTACTCACTCCCGCCGCTCACATTCCGCGCCCCATGCGGGTGATAATTACCGCTCTCCAGGGAACTTCGATACTTTCGAGCATTGGTAAGGAAGCTCCGATTGCACTCTTATAACGAAAAGCTGTCGTTGAAGCTGTACATCGAGAGGCACCGGTGATTGCTAAACAGTTCCCCGTCCACGTCCCCGTAATCCTCCCATCACGTGCTCGCTGTCCCGCTTCAGGCCATATTAGTATTCATGCGCTTACGCTAAAACACCCAGATTCCGGATGCGCCCGGCAAAAGTGCTTCACTTGGATTGCTATAGTTAGCACTGCAGTGCCTGCCCTTCTAATGATGGCGATGCAAATCACGCATGTACGCCAAATTCACATAAGCGAGAAAGCCTGTCACTGCTACCATTACGCAGTGTCAGCAGTCTTCGCCCACGGGGCAAAGACGTCTGAATTCATGGTTAATTGGGTTCATCGCAGAGGCATACTGAGACGGATTTGGTGTGGATACCAAGCTCGATACAAAACTAACACTTCGCCCTAATGTTGGTCGAATTCGCATGGGCGAATAGAGCCACGAGAGTGGCGGTATTGTTTATAAGCGAAAGGAATGCAGGCAAACACACTATGTACGTATACGTAGATATATTTCTTTCCGGCTCTTTTTGCAGGGCGTTTCCGTTACTAGTTGCAGCTGGCCACTGCAAGAGTTGGAGTTTTGCTCCTCCCAAAACTCCAACGCTAGGAAGTATTAAGGTCACCCAACTTAGTAGAAGATTTTAATACGCTGCAAGGAAGTAACGAGAACAGCGCCCCAAAGGCAGTTAACCTCCCCTCCAATAACGATCTCAGAAAGTTCCCCCTCCTTAACAAGGCCAGTCTAGGGGCAGTTTGCGGCCTTAGAGATCATATGGCCCACGGAACGTGCTTCTACTCTCGTCAGTAGATGCGTCTGCCAATGCCCGCTCTGCTTCTTGTGCCCCCAACGACAACACAAGCGGATATGAAAAACTGAATTGTGAGATCTAGTAGAGTTCCAAGTTTCCTCACACATGGGGGGTTGATAAACCATAACACTATAGGTATTGCGGGCCGTGCAAGCTGACGATGTGTGGTTACAGCCTTCAGTCCCTTACATGCTATGCCGAGGTTTGTTCACGATAACGAAGAGTATTTCACTCCAGTATGAATACTTGCTGTAGATAGTACCTATTAGGAGGTTGTACCACTGAAGGACTACTTTCGAGAGCATCTATAGAACCCTACAGGTGAGCATAGCGAGCCGGCAGGCATTAGTTAACTGATAGAGCACCATAGCACAAGTAACACAGCTTAAAGGAGTTTTCTTCTCTCTCTGTCTTCTCAGAATTATTCCAGTCTCCAACACCACTAAATCCGGCAGTGCAGCCTTTGGGGCTGAGAGAGGAGGCGGCGTAGCATGTTGCAACGCCTTTTGCACCAAGTCTCATGATAGCCTCTGCTATAGTCACACCAATATCTCTTCGTAAACAATATTTAATCCATCATCATCATCAATGTTGTACTCAGTGTACATCAATAAGCACTCACAGAGGCATCCTCTGTTCATTCAACCGTCACTCATTTCACAAAGTGCACGGCATTGTTGCCATGATTGTAGTGAGTATTCACTACACGGTGTGCACACAGCGGCACCGGGCGGTCCAAGCTGCGTAGATAGCACAGACTGTCATGAGTTGAGCATTCTGTGTTACAAATGCATCTACAAGGGAAACCCGTATGCAAGCGTAAGCAAACTCCGTTTGTACAGCAGTTCTGTACAGTATTCATAGATGCAGCTTCACCCTTGACTGAGTATTGAAGGCGGCTCGCCCTCGTATCAGGCAAACTGCAGGCAAGGGGAAACACAGGGAATGAACTTCATTCTATGAAGCTGCACCCCCTACCCTCCCGTTATAACCAAGTTTTGGAATTTATCTGTTAGTCAGATCTGCTTGATAGAAATGACAGCATTTCTTTACTTTTAGAGAGAAACAGAAAAACCAAGGAAATAGCAGTACAGCAGTATCGCCGAAGTATTAATGAGGAACCCTATGTCTCTAAGAGGTCCTCATGTTTATGTCTCTAAAACTCCGAACAAATCGAAGCAAAAGAAAAACGCAAAAATTATTACACATAAAATTGAACGGTAAAGGCCAAAGAAATTGCAGCAAATTTATATTTTTGTATCGCTAAATTATATGAGGAGGGATAAAAAACACAGAAATATGTTAAAATAAATATTTATTAACTATCTAGGATTAAACTGAATGATATAAACCAAAGAAATAGAAGGAAGGAGACATGAGCTCGCTTGCGTGGTCCAGTGGTCCACCCGGTGGTCTCTCTCTGGGGTGGTTGTTGTTGCCCCCACCTCTCGCCATTAACACCGGTATTTCAATGGGGCCGAGCTGCGCCCTGCTACGCAGATTAAAATAAATGAAAAAGTAAAATAAATAAAAGAAAATCATACAAAATAAAAAAATATATTTAACTATATATACTGCGCTGCATACACTAGGATTTCACTTGGGGGCTGTGGTGGGAATCCAAGCCCCGCTGAGGGCCCCTGGTTTCTTAGCGGTTTCTGTAGAAAGACTCTGCATGCATTTAATATAATTGATTAATATAAATTTTATAATTAATTAATTAAAATAAATTGGCTTTTTTATACAGCTGGAGCAGCAGCAACTGGACGACACTAACGAGTTGCTGCTGCAGCAGCGCTGCTGAAACCGCAGCAACGCATCTGCAGCTCTTTTCGAGTGTATAGGCAGCTCGGGATGGAGGCTCCACTGTCTGTACACCCCAGCTCACTGCGCAACACAACGATGCAGGTGTGCTCGATCCTCTGCGGCTGCTCCCCCTACAAACAATAACAACACGCATCAACAACCCCACCAACAGCAAACACCAGAAACACAAAACACAAACACAACGACAGCTGCAGCTTCTTTCAGCGCTGTGCTGGAAGGGGCAAGGGATTTACCTGCAAAACATGTAACCTGATACCCTCCTGGTACTGTTGCTGCTGCTGCTGCTGCTGCTGCTGCTGCTGCTGCCGCACGTGGGGCTGGAGGGAGTTGCATACGTTTGCTGCAACAGAAACAATGACGGCGCAGTCAGCGTCCAAAGACGCAGCAGAGCGAGCTGCGGAAGACGCATCCCTGGGGCTGCTGCCGGCGCAGCAGCAGCAGCAGCTGGAGCAGCAGCAGCAGCAGCAGCAGCAGGAGCCGGTGCAGCAGCAGCAGCCTTCTAACTTGACGAGGAGCTCCACACTGACATCAACAGCAGCTGCCCCACCAGAAGAAACACCGCAGCAGACAATGCAGCATCCGTCTCAGCAGCAGCAGCAGCAACAGCAACAGCAGCACCACCAGCAGCAACAGCAGCAGCAGCAGCACCACCACCACCTCCAGCAGCAACAACAGCAGCAGCAGCAGCAGCAGGAGGTGTTTGGTATCCTGACATGGAACGTGGCTGGGTGGCGTTCGGCTGTTGCGGCGCTGCGGCGAGATTTTTCGTCGATCGAAAATTTTCTACAAAAAATGCACTGCGACTTTCTCTGTCTGCAGGTCTGTTTGCTGCTGCTGCTGCTGCTGCTGCTGCTGCTGCAGCAGCAACTGCTGCAGCAACAAACAGAAGCAGAAGCAGAAACAGCAGATGCAGAAACAGCATTAGCAGCAGGAGCAGCAGCAGCAGGATAAGGAGGATGAGCATTAGCAGCAGAGAAAGCAGCAACAGCAGCAGCAGCAGCAGCAGCAACAACAAGCGATCAGAGTATAAAAGAACAATGCATGCATGCATGCATGCGATGTGTGTGCTGCTGCAGGAAGCAAAGACAGCAGCAAAACTGCTGCAGGAGGATCCCCGAGCTGTTGGGGCGACGCTGAGGGGCTTCGACACCTTCTGGTGCTGCTGCGCCACGCAGGCAAGAAGAGGACTCATGGGTGCGCTGCTGCTGCTGCTGCTGCTGCTGCTGCTGTTGCTGCTGCTGCTGCTGCTGTGCGGGCTGGTGCTGCTCCTGCTGGAGATGCACCTTCTGCTGCTGCGCCTGCTGCTGTTGCTGCTCCTGCTCGAGCTGCTCATTATGAACTGCTGCTGCTGCTACTGCTGCTGCTGCTGTTGCTGCTGCTGCTGCTGCTGCTGCAGGGTACAGCGGAGTGACGACGATTGTGCGTCAGGGCCTGACTTGCAGGGCAGACGCCCAGCCCTTCAGCCGCTTCCTACCCCCCATACATGCAACAGCAGCAGCAGCAGCAGCAGCAGGAGCAGCAGCAGAAGCAGGAGCAGCAGCAGCATCAACAGCAGCAGCACCTAGAGAAGCAGCCACAGGAGTGGGAGCAGCAGACAGCAAAACAGATACCCCAGAAGGGGCTGCAGCAGCAGCAGAAACAGCAGCAGAAACAGCAACCGGAGACACTGCAGCAACAGCAAACGCAGCAGCAGCAGCAGCAGCAGCAGCAGCAACAACAGCAGCAGAAGTGGAATTGTTAGGGTTATTGGGTTCGGGCTACCCTAAGACTTTGGGGGGCCCCGGCTTCAGCTGCAGGCTCATCCCAAACAGCAGCACTGCAGCAGCAGCAGCAGCAGCAGCAGCACAACCAGCAGCAGCAGCAGCAGCAGCAGGCAGTGTGTGTCCCCGTAGTTCTCTGGATGATGAGGGCCGCGTGCTGCTGACGGAACACCAAAACTTTATTTTAGTAAATTGTTATATTCCCGCAAGTGGGGCTGCCTGGGGTCGGCTCCCCTTTAAGCTGCATCTGCTGCATGCAGTCAGAGCACTCATGCTGCAGCAGAGGTAATTTTATATTATATTATATTTTATTATTTTATATTGTTTTATATTATTTTATTTTATATTATTTTATATTATTTTATATTATATAATATTATATAATCTAATATTATAATTAAATAAAATAATATAATATTGTATAATATTGATGTAATATAATTCTATATAATACAACACAAATACAAATTATATGATACAATACAGATATAATTTATATATATATATATATATATAT